TTAAAACGATAAGTGCTATCTTCACAAAATTTTACTTGTGTACTCCTCTAGGCCTAATTAGACTGCCTACCCCCCTTTTTTTTTTCATCAAAACTCCGACTTTAAAAGGTAGGGTGCCGGAAATGGTTAACGTGTATACGAGCCAGTGTCGCCTAGAAAGTACTCCACAAAGCTATCCATCCCCTTAGGCAGATAGTCGTAGTGTGCTTTATCATAATCACGTAAGCCAACTAAAAAAACCAAAACCTTAGGCAGATAGCCTTCGAGTGCTTTGCGTATTCTATATAATCGCGTCGAATTATGGCCCACCAGCATTATCACTTAGCATTCTTCAAAACAAAAAATTTAGACGCTTGAAGAATAACTATTTCTGTTTATTCTGGGGCCGCGTATTTCGTTATGGCTCCAGGCAACATCATATAATATCGGTATCCACGTGATGTTTCTATTATGTAAGCATACATTGTACTATATCTGTCGCAAATGTACTGTCAGTTAAACATTTTCAATTTTTAAAATCTAGTTGACCAGTTCTATGAACAATTTAACCCTTCAAATATGTAGTTGAGCCCACCATCGGCCGAGCGGTAAAATCGTTGAACACTGGTAGTTTTGACCTGTGTTCAATTCCAGGCAAACGAGTTGGTTGCATGGGCGTTTTCGTGGTTTTTTTCTTTGTGTAATGTGTATACGAGCTTCCCTCCCCTTCGGCAGATATCCCTAGTATGCTTAGCCAGTAATCAACTAAACCAAACCAAATGTGTTGTTTTATTTTCCCGGATGCTTTGCTTTGCAACACACATATTTCACAAACTATAAATTATTATGTGATAGCAGCCTTTTAGATAGCAAAAGACGAGCAGCATTGCTTTTCATTTTCTGGCTACAAGTAAAAAAGTCTTATGTCTTAGTTTTATAATATTTGGAAAGAATCCCTCTGCATTTCTGGTCCTGGATTTAAAGCTCTCTTCGATGTCGCCGTGTGATAACTGCAGCAGCTTCTTCCCGAGTAAACAATGAAATGGTCTACGAAGAATGAGCTTAAAAATATTGGCTCAGCTTTGGATTGTGCAAACTCGATTTTCTCGCTTCCACTATTACGAAAAACTGCGTCACGAAAACGCTGTTTCTTCTTCCTGACGTCCATTTTTCTGGATTAGTTTTCTGATGATGCAAGACAGCTAGGAAGAGTTTGCAGCGTTTTTTTTTAAATAAATAAATAAATAAATAAAAACAATATCGATTGCTCAAATTGAAAGACTTCAGATTATATACAACGAAGCTACTTTAACGCGACTGCGCTTTGTTCCAGGAAAAACTTGTTCTTCTCTGGAGGTGGTATCGCTATAGAGAACACGGTTATTGATGATATTCAATATCTTTAACTAATTTCTGAGACACAGGAACCTATTTACGAAATTAGACGTTCCGAGCAAACTCTCTTGCAAAGGGTCTCTTCTAATTTTTTTCACAGCATGCATTAGCTAATGTTACCTTTCGGGTATTAGTATCGAATAGCTGAGGTCCCATCCGTTTATTTATGAACGCATGGACACGGCTTATTATGATCAACAATTCGGTTAATATTATAGAATAATTTTTCAAATGACATACAATAGCCAGATAAGGTCAAAGTAGTTTATAAGATTCGCCAAGTGTCAGAAAATGTCGCCAAGTAAGGCATTAAGCTGCTAAATAACCTGTCTTTGCTTTTAGACACCCATTTAAAATTGACAAAAAGGCTAGACTTAGTTTGGCATAGATTTTTATCAGCTCTTTCAATTTTGAGGGTGAACAGGTACAGGTAGCAGTAAAATCAGGAGCAGTAAAATTTCTGCAGAATTTTCTCCTGTGTTTCTAGAGGGTGGGAGAACCTGAAAGCATTTAAGTTAAACTAAGGTTCCTCTTTTGCCTAATTTTAACTTTTTTATTTGCATGTTTCCATCCTGTGAACGGTCGATACCCTTCGAGTATTGAGGTTAGGGTTTTAGCATAGATCAAACAGTTTTCAGAAATGTTATGAACACTTTATAAGTGAACTTTTGTATTAAAGCTATTAAGAACAGTTCATAAACAAATTTTACATGTTCCCAGTTAAAGTTCTGCGAAAATACTTCTTTATATGTTTCTTGTTAAATTCACAAGATGTGACAAAAAACAAAAACGAGACTGGTCCAATAAATCATTGTACTTACAGAATCAGTTCTCCGTGACATCACCTTCAAAGTAGTTCCCTTCTAATTCACACACTTCTGCATTCGGCGCTGCCATTGTTGGTAACAGTTCTGAAACGAGGTTTTTGGAAGGCTCGGTCAGGAAATTCTCCGTTTTTGCCTGACCTCTTCAGCTGAGGTAAAATGGGTTGCCTTCAAGTACGATTTAACTTTAGGAAATAAAAAAAAAAGTCGCATGGAGCCAAATAAGGAGGATGCCCCATCACAGTAATGTTTTTGCTGGTCAGAAACTGCTTGGTTGTGTGAGCGGGTGCATTATCCTGGTGCAACAGCCACCCATCGCTCCACAACTGTGGCTTTGTTTTTTCCTAATGCTTTCCCGAAGTCTTTAGTATTTCAATGCAGTAGTATAGATTAACAATCTGAACCCTGGAAGCCCATTCAATCATGATGAATGTGCTGTGCGCCCAGCACGATCATCATCTTCCACAGTATTCCTTCCACCTAAAACTCGCTTATGCCATTCAAACACACGTGTGTGAGACAAAGTTTCATCTCCATAAGCCTCGGTTAACATTGTAGAGTCATTAGGATTTACTTTGGAAGCAAAGGAAATGAAAAATGAGCAATGCCTTCGCCGGGAATCTAACCGCAGACCTCTGGAATGCGCGCCAGTCTCCTAAGCTAGTTGGCCCGTAATATTAAATTAGCCAGTAAAGCTATCAAAAGGCACGTAATACGGCCGAGCGTAGTAACAGCTTAGAGAGACGTATCCAAAGACAAACTCGCGCTATTCGGTAATCCTAACTCTCTCTGGTGAAGTCAGTGGAACTTTGCTATTCTACTTCACATTTGAATTTAACGCGACTTTAAAAACTCATTCCGGTAGAGAGTTGTAAGCTGAAACTAGGAAGGATTGGAAGGAAGCATAAGCTTAAAGTAACTGTTATAAAATTAAAATATACTTTACAAGATTAATGTTATCAAAGTAACCAAGGACAAACGTGATCACATTAAGCGGCTCCTACTGCAGCAAATATCTCCGCTATACATATATAACAGCCGCACTATTGGCGTGTTGGGTAGGGAAGCTGGCTACCATAGCTTTAGGTCCGGATTCGAATCCCGAAGATGATATGTCTTGTTTGCAAGTGTATAGTGTGTTTGCTGCAAGGGGATAATTAAACAGTCGAACTAAAAGCTCAAGCGAAAGGTTAATGCTAGACTAAGAGGAGGAAGAGATCTTTTAAGTCTCCTATTCCTCTTTGTCATTAACTACATTTTTATCTACCATTAACTACTTCTTTGTCACCCATTAACTACCTGTTTATACACACTGGATTCAACGCCGTGTTCGTCATCGAGACCGATGCGTATTGTAAATGCGTATTGTAAGTTACCCAAGGATTAGTCATCATTTCCTTGCGTCTTGGCAGTGTAAAATTTGTGGATCTAATCTGCCTGAGGTTGAGATCAGGAAGATTAGTATAACAGCAGCGCATTATATAATGTGTATTATGAAATGACTCATATTAGTTCAACATTTTTTTATGTAAGGTCTTTTAAACAAAAAATACTCGCATTTTTGTACATTCCGATTTCTTGCTTTCAGTTTATTATGCTTTAAAATAATCTCAGATTTACGAGATGTAATTTGTGATAATTACGTATAAATTAGTTTTTATGTTTAAGCTTATATATTTTTAAGTGTGTATGGATTCGTAATAGATTGAATATCCACAGATGCGATGGTAGCTTTAAAAAATTTATTCCCCCCCCCAAAACAAATACTTTACAATTCTGGAACTTTCCACAAAAGCATTCGTACAGCTTCTTCTCAGTAATACAGAGCACAATCAATAGTTGCCTTTCCAAAATGCTGATATCATTAACACGTTCCTTGCTGAGCGACATTTTCAAAAACGGTTCCACCACCCCAACAAATTTTAATCAATTAATTGTAAAATAAAAATACAAAACATGTATTTATAGGAACGATATTGAACTTAGATAATTTTTAATTACTTTATTAATTACACGAGTTATATCGTAGTCGGTTTTTGCGATAAAATGTTTTATGACATCGTCAACTATGAGCATACTCGTAATGAGTATATTCGGAGTTGGCGGGGAGGCCCACCAGCGGCCGGGCGGTAAAGTCGCTGACCACTGGTAGTTCGGTCCGAGGTTCAACTCCCGCGAACGGGCTGGCTGCATGGGGTTTTCATGGTTTTCCCCATGTTTAACGTGTATACGAGCCAGTTTCCCTTAGAAAGTCCTCCACAAAGGCATCCCTCCCCTTAGGCAGATAGCCCTCTAGGCTTTGCCGTAATTAAATAACCTAACCTAACCTAACCTTCGTAGTAGCGGTTGCTTATAACAAAGATTGATTATAAATTTGCTTGATTATTTTGATAGTTGCTATGTTATTTTCTTTATAAATACTTATATTAATTATATTAAATCTCTTGAATTGCGCAAAACTGTTGTTTTTTTTCCCTAATACCCAAAGCCAAATACCTTCAAAGAACATAAAGATACTACGAGTTTGATCATATGTTGTGTAGGTAAAACAAAAACGTTCTACGAATTAACTCGTAGCTGGCGTCTAAACAAAAAATCTCAGCTTACGAGATAACTCGTGGTTGGCAGCGAACGTGTTAAACACTGTCTTCTAGCTATGTCCTAAATTATGTGGGAAATGTACAGTTTGGTTTGTCTAATGAAATAGTATCTACGCTTTACTGAGCTCTGACTTTTTTTTATTTGTTTTGATTTGTTATCAGAATATCGATTGTGATATCCTATTTTTTTTTTTTTTTCCAGGTATTCACCTCCCATCCAGAAAAATGATCTTCCCAAATCTCGTAGTTGCAATGGATCACTGAGGGTTGCAAAGCGTACAAGCTGCCCTAATCAGCAGGGAGGACCGATCAAAGCTGACCATTCGGCTTTGAAAGAATGTAACAGGTGAGTGCATCTGATCATTGTACTGATTTTCTAGAAAAAAAATACAAAATATTCCTAATGTTTACAGTGCCCTTATAGACGTCCTGATGTCCAATATACATTTACGCACTCTAAATATTCTTAAAGGACTTCATAAAGTTATAAAAACGCCAAAACCCTTAAGCAACTAAACCACTGAACACAAAACCAGAAACCTTCATTAGGATGTTCCTGCATAAAGAGATACCTGCCAACGTAGGAAAATCGGACTATAACTTGGAAAGAACAAATTTCGTAAACGGGCAGGAGCTTTATGCCCGTATCCCTCTATGGAAGTAGAACTTTCATTTGCTTTGTTAAACAAAGCTGCGAGCTGAAGCTTTGTTTGCGAATAATAAAGTTTCCAGCATCTTTATGGAGACTGCTTTTTCAAGTAAGAATTGGATCTGCATACGGATGTGTGTTTCGCTGATATTTCGCCAATAATTATAATTTATTGTACTACAATAAAGGTGCCTGCATCTTTATGGAAACAGCTTCAAGTAAAAACTGGCTCCACCTAAGGATGTGTGTGTTTCTATGATATTTTCCCAGTCATTATATCCTTTTACAGTAAAGATGCTTACATCTTAATAGAGATTGCTTTTTTCAAGTAACAATTCGATTCGCATAACGATGCGTGTGCCTCTGTGATACTTCACCAGTAATCATACTTTATTGTACCACAATAAAGGTGCCTGCATGTTTATGGAGATTGCATTTTTTTTTCCAAGGAAGAATTTGATTTGCTTAAGGATGTGTTTCTATGATATTTCACCAATCATTATACTTTATTGTACTACAATAAAGGTGCCGGAAATCTTTATGGAGATTGCTATTTTTTCAAGAAAGAATTTGATCTGCACAAGGATGTATATATTTCTGTGATATTTCACCACTCATTATCCCTTGTTGTACTATAATAAAAGATAATGACTGTTGAAATTGCACTACAATGTTGTATATTGTACTACAATAAAGTGCCCACAATTTTATGGAGATACCATTGTTCAAGCAAGAATTTGATAAGCATAATGATGTGTTTCTGTAATATTTCATCAATAATTACACATTGTGCTGCAATAAATTTGGCAGCAATAATGTGCTGCAAAAAATCTCATCTTTGTGTAGATTGCAATTTTTTTTAAAAAAAGATTTTGGTCTGCATAAGAATGTGTTTCTGTGATACTTCACCAATAATTATGCTTTACTGTAGTATAAAATTCACCCAATTAATAATTAAATAATTATGCTTTACTGTAGTATAAGATTCACCCAATTAATAATTAAATAATTATGCTTTACTGTAGTATAAAATTCACCCAGCGTAACTGCCTTGCATTTTAGGCATTTTTCTACAGTTTCTTAGTTATATACTAGTTACATAACTCAATTCTGGCCAAAGAATGATTCATCTTAGTTTTCTTTTATTGGTTGAACAGTATAACTGAAAGCTAACTTGGCAAACTATCCTATTTTGAGGTGTAAGAATTTAACCATTCCTCAGTCTATCCAATTTAAAGTAGCTTAAACGATTCGTTAGGATCTACAGAAAATAAAATTTAAAATATTGTTTTCAGATGGAATTTATCATGAGCCTTAAACGGAGATCAAGTTTAAAATAACACTCATAATAAACTAACCAGCTATAAAGGCAAAACCTCTTAGATATGCTCAAAAGGGGTTAAAAAAAAGCGTTATTATTTTAACGAACTGTTTTAGTCTTGAAGAGCATTCTTTCTTCCTAATTTGGACATTGTAGTTCACTCACTTATTAAAATGGATATATGCAGGATACAGAATCTTAAACTAGATCTATCTATAATGATGTTTAAAAACAGTTATTATTACCAGCTGCAGATAATGCCAAAGATCGCCAATTGAGGGTTGCAATTAATGGGCTAATGTGCTCGTTTAATAAAGACCGACATATTTTCAAAGCTTTATCATAAAGAACTGAAGCTTGTCATTACCGCCACTTGTAATGATTATGAAGAAGTTAATGTATTGTTCACGCGTTTAATTCAGAGGAAATTGTTCATTTGTTAAATCGTTGAATATCCTTAATGTACTACATAATTTCCTTACAAGGAAGCTGATAAGCCATATCCACCTGAGATTTCTCTGCTTAAAAATAGAGATTTGAAAAAGTTCATTGATTTTTTTTTATCTGTTCTAATTTCAATATAGAAGTTTCAGAGCACATTCGAATGAAATTTTTGCTTCCAACAGGCGACCGCCGACCCCGTTAACTGTCTTTCCGGATTCTCACCACTGCGTACGGTTTGACGAACAGCTCCAGCTATCCGAACAAAACCTTCGACGGTCTTGTCGGAAACTCTTCGCTACTCTTTATGCCCAACGGTTCTCCTATCCTGTCCAGCAAAGTGGTTCTATACAAGCTCGGAACATCACTCCAGGATCTACCAGGATTCGAAGTCGGACTGCGCCGGAGCTTGATCTCCGGCGCTACAGTCCTGTGTCCGTTGGTGGTCAGTCTAGGCATATACAGAGCTACAAAGAAAACTTCGGGCCAGTGGAAAATCATAGGGCTGGAGGTTTACCGTGGGCTGTTTGCAGCGTTCCAAAAGCTACGACTGATGTCAGTCTCAGCGGGCAGGTACGTATGAATGTAAGTAAATTTTTTTGGATCGAACGAAGGATTTTTTTTTTAAGCTGTGGAGAACGTGTAGGTAAACTTCTATTTATTTTATGTGCTATTCGTGTAAGTAATTTCTATTTATTTTATGTGCCGGTCTATCGTTCAAATGCCACGTATATCAATAATATGATTTATGTTAATAATAATTTTAATTGTTTTTCTTTATTTTGAATATTTTTTATTCTCCAGCCCATTAGCCGCAATGAAACTTTTGTCGTTTGTCCATGTGTAACGTGGACACAAGCTATTTTCTCTTAAAAATGCACCCATGAATCCATCTCTTCTTTTAGAGAGATTGCTCTCGTGTGTTGTGTCATAATCCGAAATAACATCTGCCATTTACTATCAGAATTTTGAAAATAATTGATAAATTTATCGCATTGTTGTATTTTAATATTACCTACTTCAAATTTTATTTCAGTATTTATTAAATTCCAGGGCAGTCTGATGTACTTGTGTCTTTCTTCTAGTTTGCTAGTTTTTTTCTGATTAATTAAAAGATAATATTTTTAACCAGTGTTTTGACAATTAGCTAACCAATCCGGCAGCAGTGCAAGTGGTCTGACTGCATCTATATTTTCATGAATTACGTCATGTTTGTTACACAAGTGTGTTTGTTTGCCATGACAAGTTTTTTCAAAACATTCCTTCTTGTGTCTTTCCTGTGTGTTATGCAGATGACTCTCGAATACTATGTATTACCTTAATATAATTATCTTAATATAACTCTTGAATTTAACCTATATCTAAATAACAACTAACTGGATTTGTATATTATTAAAGTATGACCAATAGGAAATATTTGTTTTTAATAAGTAGCAAATTAGTTAAATTTACCAGGAAGTTCTATTTTAGTGTATATTTTATTTTACGGATGCATAACACATTACGGTAAGGACTTGTAAAATATGAACTGGGTAAACTAAAATAAAGGAGAGAGTAGAAGAGAATGAAGTAGATACATGGTAATAAAAGAAATAATTTATATTTGAAATTTACTCAATTACTTATGAAATCTAGCTGATTTTGAAGCTGAATATTTAAAGCAAAATTTCAAATGCACGAGCGAATTCTGAAATAGTGATTAAATGATCTTTATTTTGCAGGTACTTTCTTCTCCTCCCCCTTCACAAGTTCATCGCTATAATTTTCATATGTATAACAGAGTTCCAATGGATTTAGACAATAAAGTAGCTTCCCGGACGCCATCTACGGACAGCGGACTAGGCAGTAGCAGCCAATGTACTTGTCACAGCCGCCAAACACATATCTCTCTATCATCTAGTCAATCAAACACCTCACAGTGCACATGTCGCTGTTGCAATTGTGTGCAACAAGTGCCACGGGTACTCGATGGAACAGCCGGGCTGTTTAAAAGTAGTAGCTGTTCCACATTATCCAGCGTTCTATCCCATCAGAGCAGACCTCAACTGACTCAATTCCCTCCAAGGACTATGCGCAGACCTCTCTCTCCAGGTGAGCCAGATTCTAAACTGAATCTGCTACAGAAAACTTCCAGCTGTTCCAACTTGCTCGATAAGGTATCTGGCAATTATCAGATTGCCAACGTACCAGTGTATAGTGACAGCATGGTCCACGCCTATGCTCAGATCGCTTCTGTTATTCCCGATGGTGTAAAGTCGTGCAGTAGTTCTCAGGGTGGACGTCGTGCCCAGACTCTGGGAAGAATCAAATATACAAATGAAAACATCTATGATTCTTTACGCCCTCTCGATACTATGAGTACGCTGTCATCGTCCAAGTCAGAGCCACCGCTTTCTATAGCGGCTAGGACAGATTATCACTCAATGAACAGCAGTACCATCAAAGATCTTGACAATCAAAGGACAGCTCACGAAACTTCTAGCGGCGAATTAATGCGAGATTCAGATACTAAAAGCACGCATTCAGCTGAAATCTACAGCCAAATAACAGATAACACGAGACAGTCCCTGAGGCAGAACAGGTTAAATCCTAACCAAAGACCAAAAAATGTTGGAGTTGTGTCACCTAGTTGTGGACAAAGTACTGTGTATCTGAAGTCTGCTCTGAAGAAGCCTACCCAGTCAGCTATGCAGCATGGTAAGAAAATATGTTTCATAGCTGTTTAAATCTGCGATCTTAAATAAAACATTCGCAGTATTGTTTGTACGTAAGTTTATGCTCCTGGAAACATGTTTATTGCTATTTCTGGTTAATGAAATGTTATTTACTTCCGTCTTTCAAAGAACATCCATTTACGGTAGAAAATTGTGCATTGTTTAGTGTTGTGTTGTCCGAAAAGTTCGTACCGATTTTGAAGGAAAATTGAAACGCAAGAGACTCAAATTTGTGTATATATTTATTAAATTATAAAGGTGCCATTCTGTTCTACATTTTTCCACCTTTCAGGTAACATGAAAATTTTGTCCTTCTAGAATCTGTCAGGTCAAAACCTTTCTACTTGATTTTTTTATCTCGACCAAAGAGTTGAAGTTTTTTTCAATTAGCGAATTTTCTGGTGATCGAAAAAGGTGAAAATCAGAAGATGCGAGGTCTGGGGATTAGGTACAGCATCCCAACCGAGCTCCAACAACTTTTTTCAAGTTTATCAAGTCAACCAAGTCACATACGGGCGCACGTTCTCCTGATGAAACAGACGTTCTTCCGATTCGCTGTTTCTGGATGTTTTTATTCAGTTGCTGCCTTTAATTCATCTAATTGGGAACAACACTTCCCTGAATTCATAGTCTCGTTGTTTTATAACAAAGGATATAAGCTTATAACACAGGATCTGTTTTCTATTCTACTAGACACAGAGCAGAACTTCTTTGGATGAAGACCGGCTTTTGGGGGGGGGGTTAAAAGTAGTTCATTCCGCTTTCCGCAAGATCTTTTTCTCTCAACATTATTATATATGATCTATTCTTCATCCCCTGTCACTACCTGCTCAAAAATACTGTCTTTTCTTTGCGTTTATCTAGCGAGTCGCTAATGGAAACGTGATCCATCAAATTTTTCTCCGTTAAATCTTGAGGAACCTATACAACAAAACGGTTTATGAAGTCAAAAACTTCACAAAATGCTAGTGGATGGTGAATTGTGACATATTTAACATTTTTCCTAATTTACGTATCGTATACCTTGGGTTATTCTCGATTAGGGCTTTAATGTGATCTTCGTCTCTGGTGGTGGGCCTACCACCACCACATACCAACAAGAGGGTTCTTGATCTTTATGACAGAAATCCCGAGCAAACCACTTTTATACCGTTCTTTCCACTACAGCACCTTCGCCATTAATGTATATTTTGTTTGCCGCTTGCGTTACATTTTTGCCTTTCCAGTAAAAGAAAAGCATTAAAAGCCTGAAATGCACTTTGCTTTCTTCCATGTTTAAAGGCGCATAAAACTGACAAAAATTAACGTATCGTAACCAATGTTTTTCCAAATATGCCTGAAAAACCATCTTTTACGATATATGCGCATGACATTTGTTTTCAACGTTCTGATATATTCAGACTTGTCCTTACTTCCCTTACCAAAATTCGGCACAAACTTTCCGGACTATGAAGTATATCGGTCAACTGAGTGGTAGGGCCAATATCATAAATCTACTACTTATTTAATAGATGAAGATTTCGAGTGCCAGTTGAAAGAATAATATGATGAATATCTCTGCATTTTTCCATAAGCAGCCCTAGTTTCATAGCGCTTCACACGAGAAATATTAGAATATGGGACTCAGCCTTATGTTTAATATTTTAAGATTTTACTCAGAAAGCTAATCAGTATCAATGTAGTATACAGTATATATTTATCATATGCATAATAAGACAAATTTTTAATCTTTTGCATCAAAACTTATTACTTACAAATGCAATAAGCTGCATTCCAGTAGGGCATTCAGAATCGGGATTACTATTTATTTGGGACAAACCCCAAATGTAAAATTGGTGATTTTTCATCAATTTGGGTGCGTATGGGCCAGTTTCCTTTAGAAAGCCCCCCCACGAAGCCATTCCTTCCTTACATACTTTACGCTAATTGATTTAGCTCATTTAAATACCGTATTTCTTTGCGTATTTCCCCTCATTTTTATACTAAATTTATGATCCACAATCGAGGAGAAAATAATGGGAATAATTTCCGAAGAATGGCGTTACAGCAAGACAATCACAAATGAGAAATAGTCATGAATGAGCTACGGGTAACTATCGCAATATTATTTCTTTAGAAAAAAACCTACATTTCACTAAGCATATATAGAAATAATAACATTGCGGTATCTAATAAAGTATCCTCATTTTTACTTTCCTGTAACTTGAATCTTGCCCGTTTTGGGTGTTGTCTCTGCTACTCCTTAGGCCTCAAATTAATAATTAGAGACGGTTTGCGGCTGATTGAACAAAATCGTAGATTGAATGTCAGCCAGTGTTTACTTCGCTTGGATGGGTCGGTTCTTGTATTGGACTGGCATAAAGTTCAACAGTGAATGGTTCGGCCATAGGTAGCTTGCGAAGGTTTGTCTTTGACAATAAAAAGAACACAATCACTGCGAGAGCGAATCAGTTTAAAATTTAGAGTAGTCCGTTCTCCGAATGCCTTAAGGAAGGGAGAAATAGTGCGATTTTTTTTCTTTTCAGTACCTGGCGCTAAAACCTAGGGGGAAAATACACGAGGAAATACACAGTATGTAAAACACTGTTCTTACCTGACTGTAAAAACATATATTAATATATTTACAGACTCATTGTCTGGTTTGGAAGCATGAGCAGATGTTGATAACACTAATATTTTGCTCTCATGTGTAAAAAAAATCTCCTTGGAAAAGATGAGAAAATACCTGAAGTGAAAATGAATGGGTGAATGTCCATATTGGTATTACAGGCAATGATAGGGACCACATGCTGGCCAAAGAGGCTGCTATGGGTAATGCCGGGCATGCGTTCGACATTCAAGCATAAAAAAGAATCGTTATTGGTAAAATCAAGGATTTCTATTATGTTGCTGGAAAGAGAAATGGAACATTTCGGGAAAAAGGAGAGATTATTTATTGAACTTTGAAGTTTCTAAAAATATGAGAACGATATGTGATTTTGATTACAATCAAATAATCACTGGACACGGGCGCTTCCCGGCATACCTGAAAAGATTTAATTTGAAAAATAATAGTCTTTGTAATGTTGAAGGCAATGCACGCCATTTCGTCGAAAACTGCGTATTATTGCAAGGGAAAAACATGGTAACATAAAGGAATTCTACTGCTGCAATAAAGAGTTTAGATTTGCGAAGTATTTAACTTTATAAATGGCAATAAAGCAATACTGGGAATTTTGTTTTGATATTTTTAACTGTATTTTTGTTTTAATCTTTTGCTTTAATATTTTAACTGTATTTTTGTTTGTGTTGGGTTGCTGCGTTACCACGAGGGTTACAGCACACTCGTAATGACATTACATTACCATTTCCTGTCAAATGGAACAAAGTCTCACTTCAGGCATGTCTAGCTTTTAGTATCAGAAAATATTGCATTATTTTAACATGCATAACCAGCACTAATTGAATGTTGCAAAGATTAAAAACGTATTTACAAAATCATTTTGCTTTATCATCTTGTCAGAAAATGAATGTTGTGACATTTGATAACGTGATAATGAGATACATTTTCAAAGCATCTTTGAAATCACAGGATATCAAGTGATATAAAGCGTATGATAACATTGTTCTGCCCACGTATCTAAGTCGTAAAGATTTTTCACATTTTTAATTCCTTGTACGAAGTAAAAGAAGTATTCTAATCGTGAAAAATTTCGGGTATCATATTTCAACGAAAATATTCATTTTGACTTCTCTCGAATCTATTTGAATGATTCTTTTGCGTCACATCTGTATGTACGGACAGAAAAAGGACACTTTTTTTTGTCCCCAAAACAGATTGTAAAATGGATTTAAAAAGATTCAGAAGAGGTTTTTTTTTTTTTTTTTTTTCCTAGTCGTAGCTAGTGAAGGTTTTTGTACTTTTAGTTAATCTGCATGCAATAGTTGTGCAATCAATTGCAATGCAATAGTTGTACATCAACAGTTTAAAGGTTCAAGCTGCGCTAGGCGTAACAAGGCCTCCATTTGTTTGCATTTGAAACTCTTAGTAGAATAGTGAATTAAGTTGGTGCACCAACTTCAGTGTCCTTTTACACACTGAGACAGAAATCTAACTTTCAATTTTGTGCACAATTTTTTTTTTTTTTTTTTTGCCAGTTGGTCGAACAGCATGTTCTGGCGTAGAACAAGCAGTTGAATTTTAATTGCAAAAATTGTTTTTTTAACTGCTTTTAACTTTTGCTGTTTTAGGTTTTTCTGTAATTTACAGTTTTTATGTAGATGTTTTGTGTTTTTATATATTTTTGACTTGTCGCGAAGTGAGAACTGTAAGAAAAATGTCTGAATAATTGAAACAGTAAGAAAAATGTCTGTAATGAAGTTAGAGGAAATAAGTTTAAATTAAGTTCGCGCGTTGGTTTTGAAAAAGGTATTTCATTTTATACATATTAAAAGATACTTATCTTTGCCATATAATTGACTAGAATGCAAAATACAACGCGTTTTCGAAAGGCTGAAATTGACGTTTCGCTTTTTATCTTCCCCCAAACTATACAGATATTTATCTATGAGCTAATGTTTTCTGTCCAAAAATTCGATAGTGTGTTTCAGTGAATGAACACGAATTAGGGTATTCACAACATGTTTTCACTATTTTAAGAATGATGTCTGACTGTGTGTGTGAGGAATTTTTCATCCACGATAACTCTTATATGAAACTTCAAATATTTAAGCTTTCTGCATTCATATAAAAAATTGGTTAGATTTTGGGTAAAACTGGACAATGGGAAGTGGTCCGTTTGGGACAATGGGAATTGAAATCTGTAACAGTTTTTAATGAAAGACTAGATTAAACAGTAAATCAAAACTTTTCAATTTTAGTATTTAAGATTTCTATATCAGTGGGGACAACATATTACATTTGGGGAAAATTGATAAACCGGAATTGATACTTTACTCGAAGCTCTGAACGGACTTGCTTTAAAAAGTACATTATGATCTAATTCAAAACTTCCCAAATCTGATAGTTAAAACAGGTATACGGTTGAGAACAACACATTGCATTTATAAGCATAAAATGTGTTCTTGGAATTAGGCCAAATGCAACGAGAATAATCTCAATGTGAAGATGAGGTCTTGTTAAGAAGCAATTAAATGTATTAGCCTCAGTCCTCATTGTTCGTTTTACTTTTGTATAGAATCACTTTTCAAATAAAAGGATGATGCCACCAAATGTTATTTCTATGTATTATTTATAAAGGAATAATGTAGGAAATATAAATAATATAGTGGATATAAAAAGAAATGCATGGGAACACTTAACAGTTTGTCGAGAATTTTAAATGTTGTACCGCTGTGGTGTGAATCGTTGAAACGAGATATTTACTGTAGATATCGTGTAAATTAAAAAATTAAATTACCGAATATTAAAACAACAGATCATAGCACAATTTCTGTTTCAAGTTGGAATGATGTTTCAAAATCGGGATTAACGAGTTTCAGGATAAACGTTTCTCATAAAGAAATCTGCAGCGCATTCCTCGTTCGTCGATATGTAGTGGAAAAAAAAAGACGATATACATTATGATTTTTAGCCTTTTTTAAGATATAAATCAGAATCAATCACTTTTTTTAAAGTTAGTTGATGCTGAGCATTTTAATGATATTGAAACTGTCCTTTAACTTAGCCCGGATTTCTTTTTAACGTTAAAATATCTTACTTTTTCCAACATTCGAAACATTCCGTTTTTAACTTGGATATGTATTTTGAACAGTTTTTCTCCTTGAAGCAAACTTTGACGTTTCTTTCCTTTTCTTTTTTATTGACAATACATCGTTGCGTTAGATACCGAAAAATCATGGCTTTAAAAGCATTTTCTAATAACTAAATGCCAATAATTGTGTTTAGAAAGAGCACAAACATAACCTTCCATCTGTTGCTTCATTACAAGCACCATTTTGCATGAAAACGAAACTCAAGTAGCAGATGATAATTTATACTTTCAAATACATAGTCGCAGTTAAAAAATTTCGAAGCAAATGATTTTTTATAGCCAAGAAAAACTGTCTAAAAAAGATCGAACGGACTCTGTACTCATAAATTTGCAGAATTAATTTCAAAGGTTTAAATCTAGACCTTTCTTCTTCAGGTGCGGAAACGTAAACGATGAAAGAGAAGACAGTGCTCAGATGATTTTACATGAAAACGAAACTGTCAAGTAGCAGACGATAATTAGCTACTTTCAAATACTAGTTTGCAGTTAAATTTTTTCGAAAGAACTATTTTTATAGCCAGAAAACTGTCTAAAAGGTCGAACGGACTCTGTCCTCTAAATTTTGCGAATTTTCAAGTTAAATCTAGACCTTTTTCTTCAGGGCGAAACGTAACGATAAAAGAAGACAGTGCTCAGATAATTTTACATAAAACGAAACGTCAAGTAGCGACGTAATTTATACTTTCAATACATAGTGCAGTTAAAAATTTCGAAGCAAATTTTTTTTAATACCAAAAAACGTCTAAAAGGTCGAACGACTCTGTATCATAATTTGCGGAATTATTTCAAGGTTAAATCTAACCTTTCTTCTTCATCAGTGCTGAAGCGTAACGATGAAGAAAGACGTGCTCATTATTTTGCACGAAAACGAAACTGTTAAGTAGCAGACGGTAATTTATACTTTCAAATACATAGTCGCAGTTAAAAATTTCGAAGCAAATGATTTTTTATAGCCAAGAAAAACTGTCTAAAAAAAGGTCGAACGGACTCTGTACTCATAAATTTGCGGAATTAATTTCAAAGGTTTAATTCTAGACTATTCTTCTTCATGTGCGGAAGCGTAAACGATGAAAGAGAAGACAGTGCTCAGATGATGACAATGACAGACCTGAGAATGCTAATGTCTTTACCCTCAGCTTTTATAGAAATTGAACTCGTTTCTTTTCATTCTTATTGCCAGAGCATAGGTTTCTCTTTCATCATGTCCACGTCTACAGCTGAAAAAGAAGGTTTCGACATTTAAACCTTCGAAACTAGTTCTGAAAATTTATGAATACTGCTCTGATTCTTGTTGCTTTAATTCCTCCAATACTTCGTCAAAAGGTTTGTTTTCCAGGGAAAGACAGGCATGCATTGAGAAGTTAGAACCGATTTTTAAGGCTTATTTATTATTAAAATGAAATTTAAGCTGTGCTTTATACAACTTGAATGTGTAAAATATTTGTTTCATAACGTGACTTATATTCGCTATAATGATTAATAATCGTATGAAATGATGAGATTTACCTTCTGATTTTCTGTTCCTCCATTTGCTTGATTTCAGTAAACGAAATGAAGAGTTCCGAATCCGAAGTGGCCCTCAATGGGAATCTAAACAGGCTTGCTGAAGTGGAATACGCCGTCGTGGACAAATCTAAGAAGAACAAGTTTACTAGTTTACCAGCTTTAAACGGATATAACGGAACGCCCGGTGTTGCCACAGACACGGAAGACAAAGACCATCCACCCGTACCTCCAAAGAAACTTTTGCATAAAAGGTATGTTCCTTATCAACTTTAATTAATACAATCCAATGGTTCTCAGCGTATAATGCTGCATTTCTCCTTTCTCAACACATGATGGAGTATATTTTCCCCTTCCCAAGGGGTATTTTTATTCAACTGGTGCATTACAAATAATACGTAAAAGTTTAAAATGATTTTTTTTTAATTATAGTGCCGAGTAAAGCTATATATAAATTTATAATATTTAGTTAGTACATTCGGTATTTCCTTGCTAATTTTACCAATTTTTCTTTCTTTCTTTTTTTTTTTTTTTTTTTTTAACTAATTTTATCATTCAAAAATCAAGAGGATGAAATTATGAGAACAATTTATCTTCTGAAGGACACGGTTATGGCAAGAACAAACGAAGGTAATCATTTGTAAACTAATCAGCACAATATTATTTCTTTGAAAGAAACTTATGTCTACCAGCGGCTGAGCTGTAAAATCCCTGAACACTACTAGTTCTGACCTGGGTTCGATTCCAGGTGAACGGGCAGGCTGCATGGGCGTTTTCTTCATGTGCAACTTGTATAAGAGCCAGTTTACCTTGTAAAGTCCTCCGGAAGGCATCCCTTCCCTTAGGCAGGCAGCCCTAGTGTGCTTTGCCATAATCAACTAAACCAAACCAAGTGAAAGAAATTTACATTCCATTAAACATCAGTAACATACCAATCAGAATATACAGTAATTTTAGCATCACAATATATAATGATTTAAGTATATAGTGATTTATCTTCATTTCTCTTTACCTATAACTAGAATCTCGGAGTTTCTGCTATTTCTTAGACTTGAAGTCATCCATAAATAATCAGAGAAGACAAATGTGCAAGCGACGAGGCAAATTAATAGTCTGAATGCCCTTTCGGGTTTGCTTCGCTGTGATAGGTTGGTTCTTGTATTAAGCTGAGAAAGTTCAACATGTAGAAGAGATAGGTTCGACTTGGCCTTCGCGGGTACTTTCAGAGGATTTGTCTTTGTTACTAAAACAAAAACAATCATTACATGGATGAATCCCTTTCAAAATTTAGTAGAAAACTATGATCCGTATGCATTGAGGAAACGGAAACTTATGCAAATATTATTAAAATTTTCAGAGCCTTGCGCTAAAATGCTATGGAAGAAAATATGCCAGGGAATACGATAGGCAGATTCAAACGTTTCTGACAGGATATAATTCTTAAAGTGGAAAACATTTTAATGATTTATTTCTCGGTTTAAAAACTTTGTATTTCTGCATGCTTTTCACGTCGTTTACTGAGCAGTTCTGTGCTTCTGAAAAGGTAATTTGAAGGTTAGTCTTAAAAACGGTTCTTAATTATGGCCTCTACAGAATCATCATCATTAAATCTCTTTCTTTCAAGCTCATGTTTCAACTTGAAGAATAGGTAATAATTTCTTGTTTCTAAATTAGGCTGTAAGAGGAGATGTTAAACTCCATAAACACATTTTATTTACCAGCTCTTTAACAATGACAGTTAAATGCATTGGGGCATTATCATGGAGAAAAACTTCGCAGCTCATGATTCCAATGTATTTTTTTTTTTTTTTTGGATTTTTTTTTTTTTAAATTTCATTGCATGATGCATGCAGAAGGGTTGCTTAGTATTGCCTCAGTGGTTATGTTCTTTTAAAATCTAACAGTAGGATCATTTGGCAATCCCAAACAATGGGGGGCTGTTATCTTTTTCATTGATTTGCTACACCTTTACTTTAGTTAGTGCTGCTTCACTAGTTTTCTCCACTCCACTGATTCCCTTTTCAATAGTCAATCGTCGTTATACGACCATTGTTTGATAACCAGTTAAATCAGTTTCTGATTTGCACTGTAAAGCTGCAATTACTGCTACAACAAACGACACATTGCTATCTTAAAACTGCTGAAACAAATCATGATACCCAACTTGCAGAGATTTTGTTCATGTAAAATTCGTTAGTCTGTTGTTTTATATAGATCCGATTTTGCTATCTCCTTCAATTTTAAGCCCACCAATGGGTGAGGGGTTCAGATCACTGAATGCAGCGAGTTCGACTTGTTAATCCCAGGCGAACGGGACTGGCTGCATAGTATGCTTTCGTAGTTTTCCGTTTGTGTAATGTGAATACAAGCCAGTTCATCTTAGAAAGTCCTTCATGAAGGCATTTCTAACCTTAAGCAGATAACTCCGTAAGCTTTGTCGTAGTCAAATAACGTAATCTGTATTGAAATGTTATCCCATTAGAAACCAAGCATCAATAGGTGTTCGGAATTTCAAATATCCATCAAAAACTTAAATTAATAATTTAGTAACCATCCCAGGTAGATGCTAAAACTGTATAAAGAAACATACTACATTTTAAAAATAAGAATCTAAATTAAAGACGATCGTTTATTATTTTTGAAAACGCTTTAAAATTTTATTTAAAGTGGATATATTAATCATGATAAAATTTATAATACATTATTATTTATTCATATTTTTTATGTTCC